CGAGACAAGATGTTTGAAAGCTACTATATTGACAAGCCCTTCCAGACTTTCTCGAGGAATAAATAGAATTGAGACTGAGGAAATTGTATTGTAAATAGAAATAAAAAAGTGAACGTTTTTGTTTGAAAATGTATGCCGAATTATTATTTTGACAGGCTTTTTCTTTCTTTCTGCTCAATTGAGAATTTTGTATCAAACGAAACCAATAAAAGTATACGTAAATGTTTGTTACTGTCTCCGAAGTTTGTATTTTTTAAACGATAACTCAATCAATTCTAACAAAGAACATTCTGATTCTCTATTACTGAGAGAAATAGAATATCGATGTCAATAAAAATCTATTCGCAGTTGCCTATATATATGATGCAATTGCTTTAAAAGACTCGTAATAGATCGTATCATGGAGTTTTCATTATTTCGAAAGACAACAGAGTTAGTTTCATCAACATAAACATAGTTTTGTGGTTCAGAATCGAGAATAAATGACCTGTTAATGTTCGGTGAATGAATTTTTTTTGAAGTTTGTAAATAATGGTGTATAGCATTAGTTTTTTTGATCATTTTCACTTTATTCATCAATTATAACAATGAATCAACATAAGACCAAAGTTTGTTCATTATAAAAAGTATTTTGCTGGAAAAGCAAATATAGAATCGAATCGAATAAAGAAAAACAAGAAGTTGTCCGGTAAAATTATGCGATGCCTATTTCCAGAAAAGTTTTGAATTAGATTATCTCGTCGATCCTACTATAAATTGACATAAAACATCAGTTATTACTATTGTTAATAAAGGACAGAACGCACATATATATGATCAAAAGACTCAAATTTGTTTTATTTTCTCTCATGAGAAAAACAAGCAAAGATGCAGAGCACGAATTACATATATTTGTCTACACCTTTTTCTATTAATTTTTCTGTATTTCTCTCATGCTATTATTTTTGTCTATTGTGTCAGAAATAGTTCATATTCATTGTATAAAATTCATGAGCGATAGCTAGCATTATTATTTTCGCTTCATATTAGAGAAAATTAAGAGACACTATGTTTTTTCAAAAATGAAAATGAATATATGAAATTCTAAGGTGAAGAAATGATTTCATAACGATAATTGAAAGAACAGCGTACCCATATTTTGTTCAATAATAATCTCAAAATCAAATTAAAAAAAATTCTATTAAATAATCAACAATAATACAATTCCAATTAAACAAATAGACTATTTTCTACCATCACTTGATGAAAGAACGATGATGTCAATTTTTCTCATGCATATTTCGATGATAAATATTGTGCATAGGGCACTAATGTGCAGAAAAAAAATGCACTTGAATACTTTTAATATTCTTCTATGTCAGAAATAAGACCTAGAATCTGTCTGAGTGTAATTAGGAATACCTGTTCTTTGTAATAGAACAAAACAACAAAGACACTAGTTTTTCTATAGGTTTTCATGAAAATGAATGACAACAAGATCCAAATATAATCATTACATGTTATCAAATCTTCTAGACATGATTGTATGTTCTATATACATTTAATTCCGTCCTTTCTATGATACTTCTTTTATAATAATTTGTCTACTTTTTTTTTATTAGGAGCAATCGATATTATTACATATCATTAGATGAAAATTAATTTTCGATTAATCATTGTTGACTTTAAATAATGAGAAGGTTGCATAAAAATTGTCAACGATAGAGAATTTATATCTATCGTTTTTGAGTGACATTTCGATTGAATAGAAGAAATATCATCAATTAACAAACTAATTACAATCTATTTTTGATCAATATTTTATTTGATAGTCAAACTAGTTTTGCTTGGTTTGGATGCATTTGATTAATATTTCATTGATCAATGTTTTTTATTTTACTACTTTATTTAATATATTTTCGGATCAAGTCTCTTTAGAATTCGATTTCAAATTATTCATCAATAATGTTAATATCTACAATAGTGTTTTTATTATTTGAATATCCGTAAAATAATTAATTTAGTTATTTTATTCAGTGTTTGAAGCGAAATCGATGTGTTTTTCTAACCTATATTAAAGATGATTGTTGATGTTTTTTGGTTTCAAGCAAGCTTGATCTTTAAAGGATGTTATATACGATAATGTTTTTTTATTCTCAGAAGACTTTATTCTCATTATATAAACCATGATAAAAAGAACTTCATATTTTAGATTAATATGTTGTTGCTTTAAAGATTCAAACATCTAACAGTCAAAAATGTACGAATAAATGATATGATAAATAGTGTTTCAAATTAAAGGTAGGCATCTAGTTATCTGATTATTATATGCTCTTATCAAAAGTATATACTTCTCGTTCTTTTACTTGATTTTTTTTCTTAATATACATAAAGAAAACTGAAATCAAATAAACAAGTATAAAAATAAACGTATAAGTGCATGCAAATAAAATACGTCTGTTTCTTTGATTAACAAGCTGACGCTCCGAATGTATATTACGCACTTTTCTGTAGGAGTGAGTGTAGAATACGAAATAAAAAAAACGACGAATTAAATAATAATCAATGGCTTTTTTCTTATGATAGTCTGATGTAGAAGAGTGAGTATCTAGTAAAAACTATCAATCATCGCCAGATGATCTACTCTTATCAATATGATTCTCATTCTACTATCTCCAACTGCTTGATATAGTCTCAGATATAATTCTTCTCTTCTGCATTCTAGTACTAGAAGAAAACGAGTATACCATATGCTTGTGCATGCAGACTAACATCAGCTTTTTTTTGCTTCTTCTCCTTTTCTGTTTCTATGGTCGTATTCCTGTTGCCTCTTTTCTTTTTTCGCATATTTTGCTTTCTCTCCTTCCTTCAAGTTGTCGGCCACTTTTCCTTCACTGTCTGTAACAATCCCTTTAAAACATTGCCGATGAAGAGTTCTGAATCATTCACTATTGGTTGGTAGAGAAAGGACAAACCGTCTCTCACCATTAATATGCGTTCTACTCGTTGTATTCATTGAGCTTTCTTTTCATCTTTTCACTTAACATGTGTTCATTTTCTTTCTCTTTTTTTTGTTTTTATTTCTCATTAGACTATTTTCAAAGACATGCACAAGATATAAAACTCAATGAATCAAAAGTTTATTTAAATTTGTGAAAAAATGTTCTTCATAAAACAATTTCTATTTCTGTTATTTGCATTATCAAGCAAAACATTTTTTTTAAAAAATGTTGCGACAACAACAATATCACCAACAATCGTATTGAATAGTAATAAAAATTCTTCTGTGACAAAAGTAAGTAAAAAAAAAAATAATCAGAACGATTCACTGTTTTTTTTACAGATTGTAAATACGAATTCTTCAAAACATGAAGGAGAAAACGAGAAAACCTTGATTATATCCTCTGAAGATACAATTAGTAGTGATACAACAGCCGATGAAATTAAAAATGAAGTATTTGTTAATGATTTATTAGAAACAGCTAAAGAATCAACTGTTATCGTTTTACCAGAAGTTCATCAAGGGCCACATTATGAAATTGATTGGAGTTTTATTGATAAAGACACTATTCGTGTAGCATTCGATCTATTCTCTATTCCAAAATCATTAATTGAAAATAATATATATTCCGAAAAAATTGAACGTAAATTAAATCTATTAGCAACAATGACTACAATGCCTTCAAGTTCACTTAAATCAATATTTTTATTAGAATATTTTCTTTTTATTATTCGACCGTATAATCAAAATCGAGAAATTATACTTAAAATGGAAAAATTAAGTTTAAAAAATACAACATCGAGATCATATCCTCATTTTTCAAATTCATTAAGATTAACTTCATTAAATCATAATGAAAAATATACTGTTTGTATATGTTATTATCAAACGAATATTTCAACAAAAGCTCCAGATTTACTTCTTTGTCAAGATGTTATAAATGATTATGCAAAATTTGCTCATTTGAAAGCAGATCCAAGACATGGTCTTTTCTTTATTACAACACAGTATTCAATTATCATTGGCTTACTTGTTGTTTTACAAAGTATATTTTCAATACGAAAACGTCGTATAACTCAATATATTGCTCAACATTTAACAACTACAGCACAAAGTATTCGTAGTACACTTTCATCGGTTAGTCTGGTACGACAGTCATTTTCTTCATTGGATGCGGCAGCTGAACAACAACAGCAACATTCAACAAAGTCTCATACATCTCAACACGAACCAACGATTGTTGAAGAAAAGGGTTTTAAAAAACGGATTATATCATCACCAGCTATTGTAATAAATCAACTGTCTGTCCCAACAAATGATGGTGCTACTAGTTCTGATGAAACTGAACCATTTCTTAAACGAATACCGAGTAAAAATCATGTGCATTTTTTGCTTGGTCCAGGCGAAGGATCTGATAATGATGATGACGATAATGAGCATGAAAGTATCCCAAACAATAAAACATTGAATCCACAATCGATACCAACAGATGAAGAACCTTATCGAGATCAAACGGACGCTTTATTGTCCATGGCTCATATATTGGATACAAATAAGCCATGGTCTCGTCATAGCCAACATACGTCGCCAGTTTGATAATTGAAAAACGTCTTTCATATAATAATTCTTTTTCTTATCTTCTGTTGTCAGGACTACTGCTTTCTCATTGTATTTATACAAACAACGAAAATATAATTTAATCACACATACATATTAAGAAAGAAAATCGTACAAAAGAAAAAATTGAAAACATGTTACGATTCAGAAAAAATTTCTTGAAACTGTGAAAATAATGGAAGGAAAGAAAAAAAAATAGCAATCATGTCCGTACAGATTGATGTTCTTCTTTCTGTTATAGTATTACACTCGCGTTTACTTTTTATATGAATAGTGATAACAAAACAGAACTGATGAGTCCATCAATTCATGAAAAGAATGAGAGATACGCAAAACAAATGTTTTATCAAGCAATATAAAATGAAGGCAAGAAAAATGCCTAAAAACACGGGATTACACACGACTAGTTTATTCGAATCGGTTTTTCTGAACAAAGTGATTTTCTAGTTTTTCGTGGATTTGATATTAGTGGTAATTCTAAGCCAAGCCAACATGCATCTAAAATTTAAAAAAATATATATGTTTAGATAATATTTTCTCAATAATACTATACTGTGTATCAATTTCAGTTCACGTAAATTAATTCGTCCCATATTGTCATCACATCGAGATATTAATTTGCTACCATTAAGTATTGAAAAACGATACTAAAAATAATTTAGTTAACATAAATAATAAATGAAAAGTATTAAAAACAAGAAAACAAACTTTTTCAAATTCACGATTAGTAAGACCTAATTTGGTTTGTAATCTATGTTTAACATCATCAAATGATTCATTCTAATCAAATGGATATTTAAATAAATAGACAAAATAAAATTATAATTTTATATTTTACATGTATCACATTCAGAAAAAATGGAAAAAATTTTTGAAAAGTTATTTGTATAAAATTTTCCTAAATAATTTCAAATAAAATTTTAAGATAAATAATTAAAATCATTTACTTTCGTATAATGAGCAACAGGTATTAATACAGAATCTTTATTATGATCATTTTCATCAGAAATAATTTCTTCTAAATGATAATAACGATTTGAACAATTATCAAATTTATCTATTGTTAATTGATCTGGACATATACGAAGACGAAATGGAAGATTTATATCATTGTTTAAAGTTAGTTCAAGTATTCTAAATAGAATTTGTTTTTTTCGAACATTAGTAAATAATTATCGAATTGAAATGAAAACTATTGATAATGTTTACCGTAATTGTTGACTACCATTCTCAGAACATAACGTTGGTATCCATTGTTTAATTTCATTAAGAAAATCAGCTATTGTTGAGGATGTTTTAGCATAAAATTGCACTTCGCGTTGCTCATGTTTTTTTGTTGAATTTGTAACAAATATACGAAATAAACGACGATGTTCAAGTTCAGTATAACTGAACGGTAACTAAAATATTAGATGAGTCGGAAGAAAAATATCTTTTAAATTGTTGTTGTTATTCTTTTTTACTCTTTGAAAGAAGATTTTTCGAGGTGTTGTTACTGTAAAACGTGTGCTTGAATAGAGATCTTTCACTTTTTGTTCACTACTAATATGTAATAATGACGCTGAAGGTGTCGTATTGGTTATTGATGCTGAACTAAAAAAGATAATTCATTCTAGTACGATTGAAAAACGAACAGTTTTTTTCTTCATTTCAATTCTTATAAGAACATTTTTTTCAAATGGAAAAACTTTTCCGAGTGAAGTAATTCATTGTCTCAATTATCGTACAATTGAGAAAATTGAAAGTATTTTTAAACATTAAATAATGCTAGTCTGCGGATTGTTTTTCTAAAAATAATTTTTCAGTGCGAGTATTGGAATGATCGAAGACAGATGTTCAAGCATTTATTGATACTAGCTTTTTTTCTAATATATACTCTATTCAATGACATAGATAGTTTGATTTAGTCATCAAATCTTCAGTAGCTAAACACAATAGAGAGAACTCGATCTAGAAGATGTATGACTAATGATTAAAAATAGAATGGCATCATGTAATGAAGATCTATTACTATATTCAATTAGTATTTAATAGACGTAGAAAAGTAGTTTATCTAAGTGGCAATGAATCAATCACTGATAGACGAACTTCATTTCTATAATTCAGAAAAACAACCACAAGTTCTAATAAATCATAGATATTTGCATATCGTATTAAAGACAATATCTGGAAAACGACTAGTATATTATTCATTGAAAATAAGTTATGTGATAAGTCTGAAATTTTTATTGGTTTAACACTCAACTAATAACAGTTATCTTCAATACTATTACAACATTCTAAATTACCATCTCGTATTACAACGAATTTAATCTATACAATTCTTACTTTGAAGATTTTTGTATAATAATTTGTTCTTCTGGATAGTTAATACGTTCAGCAATCAATCTAATAGCTTCTTTAATGGATGTTTCCAATGGAAGATATAATTTAAAAAGACATTCATTTCGTAAGTTATCTCGATTACAAAAATGAAATTCTTGACGATTAAAGAGATTTCTAGAGCAAACAAAAAAACAGAAACTTTATCAAGAATTTAAAATATTCAAAAATATTTTAGTTACTGAAAATAATCGTCTAAAGTTAGAGAATATTTCTCGTTATGTGCTTGATTCACATCCAATATTTGAATTATAATTGAGACACCAGATGAACATGGATGAAGTGCTTGAGATAATGGTAAATCAAAGTTTGATGATTTTATGGATTCATATTGATAAACTTGATTATGTTTTGAAACACTTTGATGAACATTAAATTTTGTCGAAGAAGATGTTGGTTTTTTAATACGAAGAGCAATGTCATTGAAACATTTTTCTGTAAAAAAAAAAACCAAAACATAAACGATATAAAATATCAAGATGAAAAATTGCCTTACGAAGTGATTGTTGTTTGGAAAATAGAAAATGACCGATGTACAAAAGAGATTCATCTCGAGAATCATATAAACGAACAAATATTAATATGTCATCTATTTACATCCAAAATAGAAATTCTTTCAAAGAAAAACGAAAAAAAAACATTAAAATACCATTTTTATCAAATGGTAATAATTGATAAACATCATTAAGAAATGTTTTTTGTTCAACAAATATCGATAATATTTGTTGATTTGATATTTGATGTTGAAATACATCGATAATCTGCTAAGTTAGAAAAAAATGAAAAAATAGATATAAATAAATTAATATTCTTACTTTTTTATTATAATCATCACAATAAATAAGTGTAGAAGTAAGTAACGATTGAGAATGATAATGATGATGATTTGTATGAATTTTATGAGTATTAACTATCCATATTCGTATATCTTCATTGAGATTGACTCCCTAAATAATGATAAGAAAGCAAATACACAAATTGAATTGTATAAGATTGAGTTAGTTATTGAAAGTCAATGAGAATCATATTCATCTTATGAAACAAAGATTTTCACTTTTATTTAGATGAATTCGAAGTGAGAATGATTCATTGATGAAACTTTATGTTCCTGATAACCACACAATAGAAGGCGTCTCATTGAAGTAGCAAGCGGCAGATTAAGGGAACTACATTTAAAGATATCTTTCAGTTGATTTTATTCCAGAACTCGTCATGATTTTGATAACGCCCGACTAAACCTAATATTAGCATATTTACCAACAATACCGTACATTTTGCCATAATGCAGGTCACATTGCTGCTACAGTTTCATCTCAAGAATGTACAAGATCACGTTTTTTCTTTAAATAGAGTTCAACCATGAAAATTTGTCACTATTATTTCACTCAGACATTTCATATTTGATCAATTGGTAGAATTGAAATTACAACTACACTAAAAAGAATCTCAATTTTGTTTTTTCTGATGTCATATCCATTGACTTCACATAAATTTAATTACCATAGAATTTTCTAATTTTAGGAAGAGAAAAATTTTTATCTTATTTGCAAAAATAGAATTATGTTCTATTTTATTTTCAAAACAAAAAAAAACAAACTAATCCATATAAAATAAATATTTACCATTTCATATGCTAATCGTTGTGCAAAGATACTGAATAAATCTGAACTTCGTACTTTTATATACCGTGACCAAGGTTTATTGTTTGGAAAATCTACAGAACTAAAACAAAACAAAAATCATTCCTGATTATTCCAAAAAAAACAAAACACAAAATTTCATACTTATCATAAACAATTTCCATTAAACAAGCTGCGTGTTGAATATAAAAATCAGTATTTAAAATAATTTGTATGTAAACTAGATCATCATTATCCAACATATTTTCACGACGTTTTAAAAGTGTTTTTCTAAATTTAATATTTTTATTTAGGCAAAATAAGAAAAATTATTTTACTTTTCATAATCAAATCGTCTTATTAAATTTTCTGGAATATCTTCTAGATTAATATCACATAAAATATCTTCTACAACAAACAAAATCAAATATTTATCTGTAGAACAATCATATATATATATATTTTTTTTTTTTTTCTTTCAATTTACTTTGACAATCTTCACGTATATAAACCAGCATATAAGCGGATGTATTATACATACGTCCATCATCATCTTGTATTCCACCAAAATTTCTTTCCATTGCATCACTTGGTGCTACTCGCGCAACAACATCATCATCAAATTTAAGCCACTAAAATTAAATAATAAATAGAACAAAAAACATCGAACATTATTTTTACTTGTCCATCCAATTCGGGATTAATAAATGAAACATAATGTCCACTTGAATTATCTCCACTATGCACTAATATTGATAATAATTTATATGAACATAATGAACAATTTGGTTTTTCAAGAAATTCACTCAAATCCAGATGATAATCAAATGAATAACTATCATTTATTTTTCTGTTTTGAGATAAATTATAATCATATTCAAAACGTAATAAATGTAAACAAAGTACTGGAGGAAAATGTTGAAATTTGACACCTTTTTCTGCTTCCTAAATTAAAAATAAACTTCGAAAAAAAGAACTAAGATTTTACTCAAATTTAAACTAACTTGTAAACCATGAATACAGCCAGCATCATATAAATTTTCACCGGTTAATATTTCAGTTTTACAAAAATCTCGAAAACTTTCTATAACTACTTAAAATTCAGTGAATATTTTATAATAATTAAAATGAAATATTTACTATTAGCATTATTTCGTATTTGTAATGGAACATCATAGAATGTTTGTTGTACTCGAGATTCATGATAAACTTTTGTGCATCGTACATATTGCTTTAATAAGTAAAAAGAAAAAAATCCCTTCAGTTCGTAGATAATTGTTTAAAGATAATAATATAATAATTTACCACATATTGTCCTTGAAATAGTGATGGAATGACACCTTCCATTGTTGTACCTTCCATTTTTGATTCTAATTTATCGAGTAACTGAAATGAAAAAAATAGAAAAGAAAAGAATTACGAAGATAATTTCGAACATATTCTTTTTACCACTCGACAAAATTCTTGAATATCATGCTGACAAAATTCATCTGGCTTGTCCCATCAAGAAAAATGAAAATAAAATAAAAAGACACATGAAAATAAATTTATTAAGATAAATAAAAATTTACCCAAATGAACGTGTTAATCTTTTTGTACCTATAGATCGATCACTAAATTGAAGATCATAGAAAAGTTTTTGCAAAGCAAGTGGAATGCTATGTAATTGATCATCACTGTCTGTTGGCAAAGTATAAACAGCCTAAATATAGATTTATTTAGAGTTTTAACATAAGATCAATTTGATATAAAAGATAAGAGTGTACTGATATATGATGAGAAATGCTCACATCCCTAGATATTTAACTGTTTTTTTTTTATTTGATATTACATTCACTTATTAACTATTTATGAAACAATCTTGAATAGTTTTTGTAGATTAACTTTTACTGTATTTGTTAGAATTACTTTCATAAAATACTAGCAAGTAGAAAATTTATCGTTTTAAGCAAAAGTATATGTCGACTTGTGAGAATGAATCAACTGTTAGATCCTGTAAATGTTTAAATTTTGATGAAAAGATAAGTTTTGATTTCGGCACATTCTTAACCGAATTACTGTGAAGAAAGAGTTTCTTTTTTTTACTATCTTTAACGTTATTCTCATTATGCCAAACCTTGCGTAATTTCTTAGTAAAATAAATTGTTTGTAAAAACGAATTCATATAACAAGTTGCACCGATATTGCGTAAACCAACAAAACCAGTTTGACCTTTTGAATCCCATCTAAATATGATATTTGTTTTTGATAATAGACTAAAGTTTCTAACTTACTCAACATTTCGTGGAGGATCAGCATGAATTTTTGCTTCAATTCGAATTGTATTATCTGGCGAGTGCATATATTCACTATAAATTTCCTAATGTAAAAATGAAATTTTTTAATCAATCCAAAAGATTAACAAAATTGTATCTTCACATACTTTTAATGATTTAAAGTGACGAAAACCCCAATCATCGGAACGTACAGTAAACAAATGATTGATTTCTTTTTATGGGAAAAAGAAGAAAAAAATCGAAAAGAAAAACCTATTTTTAGAATTTACTTCTAACAATATTTTTATTTGTATTTGTTGGATGTAAAAGTGTTAATTCAGCTTTAGCAAATATAGACCAACCATGATATTTTTTGTCTGGTTCACATTTAAGAAAAAGACTAAATGATTCTGTATGAGTATGTTGAGAGTTATCATAAGTTGGTTGTATAGATGCTAATAGTGTCCATGCAAACGTTCGTATTATGGATGGTTCACTTGATACTTGAGCATATCGTCCTCGCGGTGGGATATGAGTATGAAAAATAATGATACCATCATATCGATAAACTATTTCAAGAATAAAAAATAGAATTGAGTTTTTTCTTACAATTATTATTTACTATCATCTGTTCCATTATCAAAGTCGGCTGGAATAACTGAACAATCAGAAGAGTTGTCTTCTAAATTGTTATCTATTTCGTGTTCTTCGGTTTCGGATTGACTTGTTGAATGACCTAGAATTTTTTTTTAAATATAACTTTTTTGAAATGGTTTTATTTATTTTACCATTATTAATGCCATTTTCTTGTTCAATTATTTGAGTTTGTTCCTCATTTTCAGAATTTACTGATGTACGCCGGAGTTTTTTTGAATCTGGAGAACTGTTTGAATTTGTTGGTTGTTCATTATTAATATCTGTTATTAGGAAATTATCTTCAACACTCAAAGTTCGTTTAATTCCACTCATCTCAGTTTTAAAATTCGTAGAAAATGGCTCATTTTCTAAAATAATAATGATAAAAATAGAAAAAAAAAGAAAAGGAAATAATTTTTTTCATTTCTCATGTGTCAATAATATCAATAGTTTAAATTGAAGTGAGTCATGAAGTTATTTTAAATCAAGAATAATCAATCGATTTTAATCAAAGAAAATCTTCATTTGATTATTTATTTATTTGGAGTTTTGTAATTATCAATTCTGACGAAATTATAAACAACTAGCTCCATCTATATCAAATAAGATTTCTATGAATCTGATTTTTAATTGTTAAATAAGTGTAATTGTTTTCATATGTTAATAATAATATCAAGGGTAAATATTCAGAGAAATTTGATTGATGATTACCGCCATCTAGCTTTGAACAAGCCAAGGCGAAATTTATAATTGTTTACTCTCAATGATACGATAAAATTAGCTGTTTAACCTCTTGGTTACCGCTGTCTTCAGACTGAAGACAAGACGGAGGCAAGAGATATTTTCTTGCGTTCTGTCAAATCGTTCACCAGCTAAATACGCTAGAGAGAGTGATTCGCCATTTTTTTTAATATATCGAGCAGAACGAAAAAATTTTGTCGGTATTCAAGAGGTTAAAATTCGATTTTCTCTGTTATTTTCAAATTGAAAATGGATAAGGAATATGAAGATAGTGAAGAAGATAAAATACTTCCTGGTACATTAATTCATTTAGACGAAAAATCTTCTCCTTCTGCTCATCAATCTCTTCATCATCGACATTCACTTAGTCTTACTTCACCATCATTAGTGGAAGTAAGACTTGTATTATTAAAAGATTAAAAAAAATATATTTCTTTCTTTTTTCATTTAGCTTCATATTCATTTTGATGGTTCTTTTCGACATTCGACATTATTTGAATTAGCTCAAAAGAAAGGTATTACAAAATAATTCGAAAAAAATAAAATAAAATTATCGATCACATTTTAGGTATACAACTTCCTAATGGAATGGAATCAACAATAGAAAATTTTCTACCGTAATTTAAATTTTAAGATAAATTTTTTTCTTTCTTGTCAGTCTTTCTATTTTAATTAAAGATATATTTCTATACAATCGGTTTGCCAATCTCTTGTTGAATTTCTTGAAAAATTTCCTTTTTTTACACCAATTGTTGCCGGTGATGTTGAAGCACTTGAACGTGTTGCATATGAATTCGTTGAAGATCAAGCTATACAAGATGTACTTTATACTGAAACTCGTTATAGCCCGCATTATTTAACAGCTGGTAAACTTAAACCAGAGGATGTAAGAATTTTATTTTTGGTATAAAAGAAGTCTATGCATAAACATTGGATTTTAAAGGTAATCGAAGCAATTAATCATGGTCTTCAGCGTGGAATGAAAGAGTTTCATGTCGATGTTCGAACAATTTTATGCTGTATACGACAAAATCCTGAATGGTATGTTGAAACGAATTAAATTAGAAATAATTTATTAAGGAGAATGTGACAACTTGCCACGTTTATGTTTTCTTTTCTCATAGATTAGTCGATGACAGGTTTATTGTTAAAGATGACGTTCATCTTTTGTCAAGTGAATATATTGACATTCTTTTAAAGGAAATCAATAGATTCGAGTTCAAGAAAAGGGTTAGTCTTTTGAATTGGAAAATGCTTTCAACACAAGCATTGAAAATGGAATTTTTGCATGGATTTCAGTCGAATGTTAGCCTACCATGAAGATATATCTATGTGATTTTTGAATGAATTGGGATGAGTTACAATCGAAATACAAAGCTTTTGTAAAATGAACTTCAATATATGCATGTTGAATAAAAATTGGATCATTTGTAATGCCTCATCGTTACGGTGAACATAGCGAAGCTTACGTATAATCAATAATAATAAGTGCTTGGCATATTCTTACATCCGGCTTTTTATCGTTCACTTTTTCAAAAAAAATTCATTATTAAAGTTCAAATACTAATGAAGCTTGATGTAGAAGGTGTTTGAAAGAAATTTCTATTTAGGCTAACTTCAACGAATATAATTCTGTCAGATTAATGAAATTAGCTTGACTCGTTTCTTTCAAGTAATATACAATCTGAACAAGTATTGCCTAAAGCTATTATGTTTGACGAGTATCCAGAAAAAATATCTTACTTTTATTGATAATTTCGTAAGTAAAATTCTTCAGATTTTCGACTGTTATTTTTCAAACATTTGCTTCACTTTTTCACCTATAAAGAAAAATAAGTTCGATAACATCTAGTGTATATATGACAAACAAAGAAATGGATGTAATCAGACGGAATAGACTAACAGACATGTAACTGATCTTGTGATTCTCTAATAAATCTATTTATTTAATTAAAAATTTCAAATACTTTATATGATGATTTTTCTGCGTCAGGTCAATGGAAACTGTGAATTTAGCTGATAAATATCGTTCAGCAGGTGTTGTTGGTATTGATCTCGCTGGCGACGAACACAATTATCCTATTGATCCACATATTCCTGCGTTTAAGCGTGCAGTTGAACTCGGTGTACATCGCACAGTACATGCTGGTGAAACAGGTTCATCTGAATCTGTTCGCCAAGCAATCGAACTATGTCATGCTGAACGTATTGGTCACGGTTATGCTATTATTGATGATCCGTCAGTATATGATTTAATCCGTCGTAATGATATTCATCTTGAATGCTGTTTAACATCATCCATTCAGACGAACGCTATTGCTAAATATATTCCAAAGGATAGTGAAAAACGAGAAAAACATTTTATTTTACATGGTCATGAAACAACAACAAGATTACATTTCCATATAAGATCGAAAAAGGAAGTTTGGCATCCAATACATCATTTTGCTCGCGATTCTTTAAATTTTTCATTATCATGTGATGATCCATCTGTATCACAAATAACAATTGAACACGAATATGAACATGCATTGGCTGATTTAAAATTATCACCGGCACAGTTAACTCAATGTGTTTTCAATGCAGCGCGTTCAACATTTTTAAATGATAATGAAAAACAATTACTAATTCAACGTTTACTTACTAAATACATCCCAGGAGACATTATCAAAGACAATTTTCAAAATAACATAATGTCAAATTTGGCATTCTCAAAAAACATTTAAATTTCATATGCATTACTTTACACATCGCTAGTATTTATTTTTGGCATTATTTATTGTAGAGCGAAATAATAGAAATATTCAATTCTACAATCTAATTCAGCTATTATAAAAGTATTGTTTTAATATATGTTTTGGTTCAAAAAGAGTATGATTTTTGAGTGATTATTTCTTGTATCTTTAATGAAGCTGTCTATCAAATAAATTTGTAATATGACTATGCACATGATGTCTTAAAAGTTAAGTACTTAAATAAAATTGTGTCACTCCACTATTTCTTTACTGAATTCGGCTTTTTCGTCTATTTGAAAAAGTAATGGTCGAAGTTTTATTTGAAAGCAAAAGGTTAGCGTTGTTTGCCCGGATGCTTCTGCAACCATGAGGTAATGTTTCCTTTTTATTGTGTTTTTGATTTTTTTCTCGACTTTTTTTTTCATGTCATCAATATCTTCGACTTACCTTTTGTATACAATTGTTCATATATTTGCTTTCATATAATGATACTGAAATAGTATGCTCTAGTACACATCCTACATTGTGATCAAACTCATTAATAGTATTTGACAAAAGCATGTCTTTTTCTAAATCTGTTCATGACATGATTAGCAAAACTATTAGTAACGTTACTAGACTCACTTTTCGTATTCAGATGAGTAAACTGCCGAACACACTAACTAGTATAGATCTCTGAAAGAACTTCTAACGGAAAATTTGTACAATATGGTTCAGGTATTAATTCTTATTCAACCAGATTCGATGGCACATTGTCTGAGCAGTGAACTTGATGTGAATTCTGATAATATAATTTTGAAAAGACAGATACATTTTTAACTAAAATCATAATACTGAGGTTCAATGCTAATCAATATCTATAAATTCTTAGTCCCAACAATTACAATATTGTTAGAACAATAAATTTAATCAATCTCTCAAATGTATGAGAGAGAGGAAAGTAAAGAGAGTGCTTGAACTATTTAATCAAGCTCAGGTGCTATATTATTATACATAATTCTAATAAGATGCCTAATTGAAAGTAGCTTTTGCATTTTTCCCTTATGAATAATCGAATTATTTGGTTGATCTGTTTACTCTCATTTTATCATTTATTGTTCTATTGTGGAGATGAAATCATACAGCGCGTGTCTACAGAGAGAACAGATAGAAACAATTCATCAAAAAAAGAAAATGTTGGTTGTTTTTCAACTTGAAATGATGTTACTCAGAATATCATCTCCTCACGACGGATCAATTGGTCGCATTTCTAACTGTTTCTTTGCAAATTTTGAATGACAGGATCGAAATATCGTTGTTTCACTCTGTTCTCAAGAAGTGATAGTGTGCAGTGTTGACGTGAATAAATTAACATGAATACGAGGGCGAACAAAAAAATTGGACAGTGACTGTATTGTGTTGCAATGTATTTGCTAAATACCGTGTCCCAATGTTTCCACTTTGATAGTTGCTAAGAAAGAGTGCTATGAGTGTCTATATGAAGAATAGATCATGCTTATAAGTAATACAAGAAGATATTGAAAGTTACGGTGTTCTGTTGCAGTGTATCAGTTAGCATTTGTGTTTCTTTGTCTTGAATTTGATTCTTATTAGATGAAGTGTTCAAGTGTCTGTGTAAAACTAACGTAAGCATCATGTTTTGAAAATATAAAAGGGGGATTATGGTCTCTTTGTTGATTTTTAATACATGTGTGAGATTTTCGACTTCATCACGTCCGATTAGGTTATCATAGAGTGGTATATGAGTGAATTTCTATGGAAAGAAACGATGAAGCATGAAAATGACAAAAAATTATGGAATCTGGTCGCGTTGATTTTTAATGCATCAGGCAGAAACTGTGCTTTTTTGTGTCTGACTTAATTTAAGAATAAACTAAGTGAGATCAATGCCCGCCGAAACAATCAAGACAAACTACGACAAATATGCACAAATTGAAAATAATGATAATCGTGTTAGTACACAATACTTGAGTTTAATAATACATATAATCGTCTCCAATTTTATTTAAAAATACCGACAAATTTGTGAGTGTCGGCATGTACAGGATGTTAAAAAACCATTACGCCGCCTCTTCCCCACCCCCTCTGTAACTTCAACCATGAATGATATCACACAGTATTATATACCAAATTAATGCTCATTAAAAGCTGGAGTTATAATTGTAATTAATAGGCTATACAGCAATTATTAGTTATAGAATTATTAAAAAATGTTTTGAACAATATGCCATCATGCGTTCGTATTTTACGATTTTCATTTTTTATGTATATATATTTTCATTAAAATAATAGCAGATTCGTGGTCTTCATCACAAACTGAGTTCATAGACATATTATTTATATATTTTTAATGAAAAAGATTTTTCCAAAAACACTCTTGAGGGTACGATATCCCAGACAAAAAAAATTTCAAAACAAAATTTGAACTGAAATATCGAGGTTTATATATCAGCCAACGCAGTTTTTGACGGAAATTACGAACTCGATATTATCTTTTTTTGAAAAGGGTAATAAAAAAAGCAAAAATTACTAGATACGAGGATATGAGTATGGCAGCTGATGTATTAGTGAGAATGTCAGATGTGGGTCTTGTTTTCAGCTACACTTACAGCAGAGATGTCCATCGCGGCTCGAAATCTGCCGCTGCCGCACCGCGATGATTTTTTAAAATTTTCTGCTCCCGCGCCACTGCCGCGCCGCGATGAATTTCCAAAACGTCTGCCGCTGCCGCGATGGTACTCGAAAAAAAGTTTCGAATTTCATTGCTGTGAATTTATTGAAATACAATTCTTGTCACTAATCGATGAGATTCATTGAGTCTTAGAGTGTTACGTTTGTGAACACTCAATTTTTGGCAAATTCATGAAGTTTTGGCAATGTCTTCTAAAAGGAGCCTGCCGCTGCCGCGATGATATTTTCAAATTTCTCCCGCGCCGCTACCCGCTACCGCGGCAACGCCGCGATGGACATCTTTGACTTACAGCCACACACATCCACGCTCTACAGGCGAATGTCTGTATCTATATACAATCTAAAATGACTTATTGCGTACCATACTCATTTGTTGTTATTTAATTTAGAACCGATGCCAGTGTGCCTTTATATGTATGTCGGGAGATGGAGACATGAAGGTGGGTTTGGTTTGAGGTTGAAGAACAATTTTACAGCCACACTTTCTCACACTCACCTCGATCCCTAAACCCACATCTTTATTTGATACTTATTTCTCTCAAAAGTCACCTATCTATTACTTTGTTCTTTAGTTTTTCGTTATGGCTCACCATTGTGTTATCAAATCGACAGCTTAAACGAAATTTTTCATTTTCCATAACAACTTCATAGGCGAGCTATTGTACCAATTTATTGAACGATATGTCATGTCTCTTTACATATGCTTGACTTTCAAGCTATTATTGATGAATGTATCATTGCAAAACCCATGTGGCAAAATTTCCATACTGCGTTCGAAAATTTTTTTTAGGATTGCAAAAATGTAGGCTTTTGCAAAATTCTGAATTGAAGTTGCTCTTACTATCTCTTCTTATTTATATTAAAAACTGAAACCCAAAGCTTTGACTCATATCAATCTATCCGTGTGAGTGTATATGATATTTTTAATAAGTGTCTTCAAAGAACAGAACTCATGATCGAACAATTTGTTAGAAATCCTAAAGTTTTGTCTATTTGATGGAATCAGATTCAGAACTCGGTATAATGTAAAAAGTAACTTGTGTGTAATGTGATACTGCTATTTTGAGAAGCTCCCTAAACTCTCATCAAGCTCTGATTCCCCATATGTCATACTAAATTGCCTTCACTCAAATCACTTTCGATGATCGTATTCAATATTTTAGGGTGAATAGACAGCGTTCGTAGAACGAATCATCGGAGAGAACTAATCATACACCTGGCGATTATTGTGAAAAGCTTCTCTTTCCTGTGGTTATTGTTTCTTATTATTTTATCGTATTTTGATAAATGAAAACTTGATATCTCTTTAACTTCTCGATAGGTTTTTAGATCATAGTTTAGCCAAAGGTAACAGATGATATGGGAGCAGGTAATATTACTTTTGCTTCTGGCGTGAAGCGTACATACGATAAAACAGGGAGCATATACTGAACTCAATTCAGATCATTGTAATCCCGGCGACACTCTACTTCAAATATCACTCACTCTCAAAGCCAATGATAAAGTCTTTGTTCAGAGTGGTGGTCGATATTTTCCTAAATCCCGCTGCATGGGAAATATGATCATAGCAATGGACGGTGCTCGTATTTCGAGTCATTGTCTGATTGACCGGAGCAGAAGTTTAACACCAGTACAGCATGCATACAATACCATCGGATTCGAACAAATTACCGTCGACGGGTTGTATAGTTTTACTTTAACTGCTGAAAGTATTGATGGCTCTTATTGTGTTGGAACTGGTAGTAATTTGATTGTATTTGTCAATCCTGCTACTTCCATTCGAAAAAAATCATTGGAAATTGATAGTTCCATCTTGTCGTTTCCAACTCCAAACACAACTGGAGTTCCAGTAGGACATATGCCGATCATCACGATCACCGATCTTAATCCTTCGGAGACAGTGGTATCATTAGCTCAAGGCTATGTCTATCAAGGTGGTTTAGAGGGAGATGCAATGATGGGACTCTACTTTGATGGGCAACATCTCGGAAATAATGCTTCTATGTGGACGGTAAATGATATTTTTCGTGGAGCGGAACTTGTTGCGCCTATGTATACACATGGCTTCGCATCGGGAGTGAGAACAATATCTTTTGATGCGTCAGCACTGCCATGAGATTTCGCTCCAGACCCGGTTCAGTACTATGTCGGAGCCGCTTCGACATCGTCAAGGAGAGACAATTGGTGGGATTGGATCTGTGTGGGTTCTAGCATAGCATGGCATGGATGTCCATCAGCTGATGGATCTGGCACAGTTCTTGCAGAATCAGTGATGGAGATCCCACAAGATCATTCTGGCCTTCTCATGATTAGCGCCAAAACGCGAATTCAGGGCGATGACAAAGATATTGGAGGAACAACTCTTCTTAGAATCGAATTAGATGGGAAACCAGTAGGATCCATAGGTATTCAGCAATTGGAATATCCTCATTGTGTTAGTTCAAGAACGGCAAGCGCGAGTTACTTGGCCACTGATCTTACGCGAGGAAAGCATACTTTACGAGCTATTGGTGCGGCATTGGAATCATTTAAACACGTGAGCACTAGCTGAGATTTGCCACTCGTCTGGTTCGACTGAATAAACAGATTGAATAAAAAGAGAATATGCTGCCAATATCTTTCTTTTTCAAATAAAATTCTTCAATGCAAAGGTTGATTTTAATGGTTTTGTCGTATCATAAGCATTATTGATTTGAATCATTCTCGGCATGTTTATCAACAAATGATTAAAATATATTGGTGACCAATTAATGATTTTCTAGTTCGTGCAAGTGAGATTATGTGCAGGCTTTTGCTCTTAATACCTTTCTCTACATTTTGAAACGTATAGTGAGTGTTAATATTTTAGAAGGGAGATCAACCAGACAATAAAAGCGTTACTAAGAGAGGTCAGATTTTTGTCGTTGTTTTGAATGCACATTGAGTATGACGATTGCCAGCGGGACTATTCAGAGCCAAATAGATTCCCATATAGTAATTATCAAGAATAACAATCACATAGTGGTCGAATAAATTCTCTGCAACTAACGAGGGAACATTCCCAACTGTCACATCGCTTTTTAGTCGAGCATATGCGCATCATGTAGGTTCCAATGATCTATGAATACTCTGAAAAAAGTTCGTGCTGCTAGCTTATTACTACCGAGATATTGCATTTTTACTGTATGTTTAAGAAAAAAGCCGTGGTCCCCCTCAGGAACACTAGGAAAATTGACTTTCGAATTTCAACTTGAAACTTTGCGTAGAGATAGGCCTCAATGAGAATAGTTTATTGTGAAAGTTTCAGATCTTTTGATTGCTCCTAGTCTGAAATAAGAATATCGGAATCTCCTGGTGTATATCAGAGATTTTACCATAGCTGTATCTTAGGATAGGAATAACGACAAGATCTGAAACTTTCACAATAAACTATTCTCATTGAGGCCTATCTCTACGCAAAGTTTCAAGTTGAAATTCGAAAGTCAATTTTCCTAGTGTTCCTGAGGGGGACCACGGCTTTTTTCTTAAACATACAGTAAAAATGCAATATCTCGGTAGTAATAAGCTAGCAGCACGAACTTTTTTCAGAGTATTCATAGANGTATGATTGATGGTCATTTTTCACTAATAATGTACCTATGGTTTTTAAAAAAGTTCGTCTATGACTTCAAACTAATATCAGATTCAGATTCAGCATCGAAAACTGAGTGGACTTATGTATACCCCAAATCTCTCTGAGGACTTTCATTTTTCTCGAAAAATTCACCCGTACCCCTCCTCAAGGTATTTTCGAATAATTTTTCCCTGAGGAGGGGTACGGGTGAATTTTTCGAGAAAAATGAAAGTCCTCAGACAGATTTGGGGTATACATAAGTCCTCTCAGTTTTCGATGCTGAGTCTGAATCTGATATTAGTTTGAAGTCAAAGCCGAACTTTTCAAAAACCATAGGCACATTATTAGTGAAAAATGACCATAAATCATACCCCTAGCATATTTCCGTTGGAAATTTTCCTAGGGGCCAGATTTTTTAGACTTTAGAAAATATACGATTTTGTAGCTTTTGAAAAGCGCTATCGAATGAACTATACCAGAATTTTGGTACCTTTAATTTTTCCGATAAAATATTCGTTGAAAGATAAAAGTTAGTGATAAATAAAGACCATATGTCAACAGTGTCTAATAATATGTCAGATCTTGTTCTCACTGAATCGAACAAGGAACTATTAATTCTTATATAGGACTAGAGTCCTATCAAGAAGCTATCAAATACTTAATTTCACAACCATTTTTCCATATCAACTTACACCAAAACTGGGTCGATCATGGATATGGTCGATTATTGGATTAGTGCCCAAAAATGAGTAACTTTGTAAATAGCTTTTCGCTTCAAAAATTCGAACGAAACTCCATGAAAATAGCATCAAAATGTTCATTTTAACTTGCTCTTTCAAATGATGTATGATTCAATAGGGTTATCACGGAAAATTCCTAATGGGCCGATTTGGCCTCTTATGCGCCCCCGTCCTTTGCTAAGCTAATATGGTAGACTGACGGAAAATACCCAATCGCTGAAGTCCTAAATTCTTCGATCGAGTGAGATCAATCAAGACTTAGAGGATCGAATTAGAAGACCTTTTTAGACGTAGAAAAAACATGATTGCTTCGCAGTAATACTAACGGGTGGCCCAGAATAAATGACGGTCTCAGTATTTTGACTATAACTTTTTTTCTTTTTGATCTTTAGAACTGATTGTTTTGCCAAAAGATGCGCCGTGAAATTTTCTAAAAACCATAACTAAACTTATTTCTGTAGAGAGTTCAGGGAAAAAGCTAAATGAATGTTATTCAAAACATAAAAAGTGTCCAACTTTCAAAGCTAGCGAGTGTCTCATGCATGCTTGGTATTTGTATACCCTTTTTAATTATCAAGTAGGTGTATTTTAAAAACAAAGTACACCATAAGATGCAGCGTGAAAAGCTCTACAAGCTACATTAAAAACTTTATTTTATGCATGCACTTTTTATTTTCTAAATGATCAAAATTCCGTGGGACCAGTTTTCGACTCTGCGAAAAAGACCATTTTTTGGTCGCACAGAATTTTGCATATTTTAAAAACAAAAGGTGCATATATAAAATAAGATTTTTAATGTAGTTTGTAGAGCTTTTCACGCTGCATCTTATAGTATACTTTGCTTTTAAAATATGTCTACTAGAGGAGGATACAAAAAGAGATACGAACACTAGCCATTCATACAACACCCGTTAGCTTTGAAAGTGGACACTTTTTATGTTTTGAATAATATTCATTTAGCTTTTTTCCTTAACTTTCTACAGAAATAAGTTTAGTTATGGCTTTTTAGAGAATTTCTCGGTGCATCTTTTGGCACAACAACCAGCTCTAAAGATCAAAAAGAAAAAAAGTTATAGTTAAAATATTGAGACCGTCATTTATTCTGGACCACCCGTTACAAGGAGCAAAAAACAGATCACAGTTTACTGCAGCAAAGGAAATATAGAATCACATTAACAAGTATCAATTTCAAGATATCTACAGTTTTTGAAACCAAGAATAAATTTAGTGATGAAAGACATGATGAGCAATAAGATTACCAATGATGGCTTTATTGAAGATTGAAATTAATACTCATGATGGATCCAGCAAAGCGGGTGTGGGTCTGGGTGTCTCTTCAATTAATTGGTACTCAGAGCCACCCCTAGTAGCACACCCACACCCAATTCGGACTTGATTGCACTTCTTCATTTAAAGAGTAATGACATCTATCACTGATAACGAATAACAACTGTGATCAACGATTATAAGTGTCAGAAATCACCACAGGACAGCATCTTCCATCCGGTCCTGTCTTGTTCTGTGCTAGCCCCATCCTGCCGCTCAGCAGGACAGGAGAGGATACAGGGCCGCCGCCCCGCCCCGTCCTGTGCTCATCACTGATGAACATCAATAAATTAATTATTTAGAGATAAATAAAATTTGTTCAAAAATTTACTATATAATAATTTATATTTTTCAAAAACTAAAATATTCTCAATTTAAATATTTTTCAAAATAATTAAAAAAAATCAAAGTCAAAGCCAATAAATTAAAGTCGCTAGAGTTTGAAAGCATGAGCAGAACAAAAAAAAACAAACATTAATTATCTTATGACTCATGATATATGAATTCCAATCTCAACTAAATTCCCATGTCAACTGTGACATATATATATATTCATTATTTTTTATCTTTTTATGATGATTCATCTAATTTCTTATTGTCCGTTGAGTAATGCAGCGCTACTATCGCTATTTTAGAAAATATTTTGTGAACAAATCTTTTAGAAATTGGCTTCGCTCATATTTGAATCAATAAATCATTTTTTCCTTTTTATGTTTTTTGACATAGAAATTGAACACAACTTTAATTGTATCGAATCGATGAATGTGAACCTCCATGAAAAGATTTAAGATATCGTCTTCATAATTATTCTGTCGGAGAAAATACATTGTTCGAGAAGGTCGAAAGAGAAGGTGAAGTTATTACATAAAGTATGGAGAATACAACATTAGTCTTATGCTTAGACAGAAAAAGAGACGAGCACAGAACATCTGATTATATTAAGACAAAACTTTAGGGGGTGGTTCAAGTTTTCAACTACTTTTTCTTTAAATTTTATTTTTTCAACAAATCAAAATCTGTTTTATCTTTGTAAACATCGTAACAAGCTTATTTTAATTTTAATCACGTACCAGTGAGATTTTTCCATTTCAAAATCTTATTTTCAAAGTATTTGTTGCAAGTAATACACTTACTCGATATCACGTCCCAGTTGTACGTTATCGTCTGCGGTTTTTCTTGTTTTTCAGATCACCTTTTTTTCCATCCGTTTCAAACCATTATTTCGTGATCCATAACAATGGGAAAAGAAAAAATTCATATCAACATTGTTGTCATTGGTCATGTCGATTCAGGTAAATCTACTTCAACTGGCCATTTGATCTACAAATGTGGTGGTATTGATAAACGAACCATCGAAAAATTCGAAAAAGAAGCTACTGAAGTTTGTATTTATTGTTGATTGCCAACTATTAATCAATAAATGTCTCTTTCTGTATAGATGGGTAAAGGTTCATTCAA